TCTTTTTAATGTATTGCTGGATCTAATTTGCTGATATTTGTTGAGGATTTTAGCATCTATGTTCAGCAGGTTATTGGCCTGTATTTCTTTTCTTTGTAGTTTCTTTATCTGGTTTTGGAATTAGGATAATTCTGGCTTCATAAAAAGTGCTTGGAAGACTTCCCTCCTCTTTAAGTTTTTGGAATAGTTTGAGGAGGATAGGTGTTAGTTCTTCTTTGAATGTTTGGTAAAACTCCCTTTATGTAGTGTCCTTCCTGGTCTTTTACTATAGCCTTTGTTTCAAAGTCTGTTTTGTCAGATATAAGTATTACTAACCCAGCTTTTTTTTCTTCTTTCATTTCCATTTGCATGGAATATTTTCCCATCACTTCACATTCAGTCTCTGTGAATCTTTTATTCTGAAGTGGGTCTCTTGTGGACTGCATATCTATGGGTCATGTTTTCTTATCCATTCAGCTATTCTATAGTTGTTGTTTTTAAATCTCACCCGAGAATATTTTTTCCATTGCTTTTCAGAGAGAAAGAGAGAGAGGAGACAGGGAGACAGGGAGAAACATCGATGTGAGTGAGCCACATTGATTGGCTGCCTCCTGCACATCCCCCAGTCAGGGCCTGTGATCACGCCTGCAAGGAAGGTTCATGCCCTTGGCCAGAATCGAATCTGGGATCCTTCAGTATGAGGGCTGATGCTCTGACCACTTAGCCAAACCATCTAGGGCTACCCTATGTCTTTTGAAAAGTGGTATAAACTAAAAGAAGAAGAAAAAAATTATGAAAAGGAGAAAAGATGAGAAAGAAGAAACAAAAAAATGAGAAAAGGATAAAAGAAGAGAAAGCAAGATAAAGAAGAAAAAAAGAATAAGAAATGGAAAGAGAAAAATTAGACAGTAAAGGAAAAAAGAGACTAAAATAATAATATAGTAATAAAGAAAATAATGCCGAAAAAAAAAGGTGAAGTGGCATTCATCTCAGCAGAGTTTGGTGCCTCCTGGGAGCTCCCCTTGGGTCCTGTTCTTCTGTTGACTGAATCTAACTGTTTTGTCTACCGATTCCTGGTGTCTTGAGAGGTACTTTGGTGCTAGCCAATGTCAGAGGCTGTCCACACGTGGCTCTCAGCAACCTGTTATAAGCTTCAAGCCACCTACAGTTTGAGACTTACTCCACAGGACTTGGCTACACATGGGAGGGGCCAAGCTGTTTGTTAGCAGCATAGGGCCCAAGAGTGTCAACAAACCTCCCTAGGTTCCCTGGTCTCTGCTTCTGCCTGCCTTCTGCCATCAGTCTTAATCACTGAAAAGGCTGTTTTTGAAAGGGCTTTTGGTGGATTTGAAAAGATTAAGCCCTCTGGAACTCCCATGAGAGGGAGTTCCCTTTCAGATTTTAGGGAAAGTGATGGGTGTTTCCCTGTCCCAGAGCTACTCCTCTGTGTCCCAGAATATTTCCCTGTCTTTGGCTGGGCAGAGGTCCTCATATGCAGTTCAGTGGGATCTGCTGGAAACCTATAATTTCTATCAGCTCTCCTGTGAGGGAGAAGCACCTGGGACAGTGGGTGAATGGCTCCACCCCAAAACTAGTCACTGACACTCCGTGAGACTGTTTAAATCTCTAGGCTGGGCCTTTGCTGCTGTCTCCCTGCAGAAGTCAGCTTGCAGTAGTATATGGCAGTCAGGTTTCCTGAAGATGGGGTGAGCTGTATCCCTTAGGGCAGGGTATTTCACTTTTCCTGAGATGTGGCTTCAGGGAGGGGCCTGCACCTCTCACAAAAAATGGCCACTTCTGTTTGGGGGAGCTACACAAGATTGCAGGTCTTGGGGCTGCCACTTTTCCATGTCTCCCCTGCAATGCTTCCCACCCCAGCCTTTCCTCAGACAACTCCAGTCGTCACTGCCCTTTTTCCACCGAAGCCTCGGGTAAGTAGCTGCAAACAAAAATCCTGTGTTCTGGGTTTAAACAACAAAACAAAAAACTCGCTTTATCTCCAACTGGCTCTGGTCTTCTTGGGGGCCAGAAGCACTGCTGCTTCTCATGGCTGGATGTTATGTGGGCTGCTTTCTGGGCTCTGGTGCTCCAGGCTGGAGAACCTAGCCTGAGGTCTGTGCCTCGATCCTCTCAGGGAACCCCCCCGCCCCTAAAGATCCCTCCTCACTTTCAGCTTTCTGCCCTTGGAAGCTGGGCCAGCCCCTCTTGTGACCTCGCCCTTTCTACCAGTCTCCAGGTGGTTTCTGGCCTTCCTTGTTATAAGTCTTCTTCTCAGCCGAACCTCAGTTGGTAATTCCCGGTGAATGTTCCCCAGTTTAGTTTTATTTCCAGTCTGGCCCTGGGAGGTGCAAGAAAGGTCTGCTTACTCTGCTGCCATCTTTTCCTCCTAATCTAAGTATCACTCTTGTGACCTTTTGGTGATAGATGCTACTCCATGACATAGGTCAGCATTTAAATTGTAGGTTGGTCATGAGAACATTCAATTAAAAAAAAGTCTCAGTGTAAACCTCCCTTAGTGAGGGTAAGCAATGAAAGCTTCCTGGAACTTTTTTTAACAGATAAATATATGTTTGTGCTTATACTAAGATGCAATGTAAATTGTATGTTACTGTGGATCATGGTCAAAAGAGTGTGGGAAACATGGAAATAGATAAAATTGCCCCCATTGTATCCACGAGGAAACTGAAGCTGAGAAGTTGATTGTCTGTTGTCACCTGGCTAGAATAGGGCAGTGCAGGGTTAAAGTGGCCAGTCAACTACGAAACCCACTCACATAACCTCACTGTAACCTGTGGACTGCACTATTTCCCTAAACAACTATATTCATTTCTATGTTTACTCAAGTGAGTACAGTTTTATAGTAATTATATACTCATATTAATGTAAGTACATTAATAATATGATTATATTAACTTTTTCATATCCAGTTTTTCATAATGTTATGACTTTCACATTTTTCAATGATGGTATTTCTTGAATTAATAGAGTGATTTACAAAATCAATTTCCTACTACTTGGCATTTAAGTAGCTTTCAGTATTTTAAATAGACTACAAAACCTTCCTCTTTCTTTTAAAAAATTATTGATTTGAGAGAGAAAGAAAGAGGGAGAGAGCTTGATTTGTTGTTTCAGTTATTTATGCATTCATTGGTTGCCCTGACCAGAGATGGAACCCACAGCCTTGGTGTATCGGGATGATGCTCTAAACAACTGAGCTACCTGGCCAGGTCCCAAAGCCTTTCTCTTTCATTATTTTTTCTTTTGAATGACATTCTTAGGATAATTTTCCAGACTGGTATGAGGGATATAAAAGTATGTACATATTTGTATTAGTTTCCTAGGGCTGCTGTGACAAAATACCACAAACTAGGTTATCTTAAAATAATAGAAATTTATCTTCTCACATTTGTGGAGTCCAGAAGTCAGAAATGAAGTTGTGGAAGGGTTGGGTCCTTCTGGAGGCTCTGAGGGAGAATCTGCCCCATGTCCTTCTCCCAGCTTCTGGTGATCCTTGATGTTCCTTGGCTTGTTGACATGTCACCCCATTCTCTGCCTCCATCTTCACATGGCATTCTCTCTCTATATCTGTGTATGTGTCCAAATTTCCCTCTTTTTATGACCAGTCATTGGATTTAGGGCTCACACTAATTTAGTATGACCTCATCTTGACTACATCTGCAAAGACTCTATATCCAAGTAAGGCCACATTCACATTTTCTGGGTGGACATGATTTTTTTTGCAGGCAGAGGGGGCCCACTATTCAACTCAGCACAGTGTTTATGTAACCCATATTCTTTACCTCACTGTGAAGCTGAGATTATTGTTTTCCTCTTCATAATTGTTTAAAACTTTGTCTTATGGGGATTTTCAAACATATGTAGAAGTAGGTAGATTAAACTCCCACATACTCCGTGTGTTTCGTTTAATGATAGTGAATGTAAGAACAACACAGAAATAGCTCCTTGTGTGGTAGGCAGTTAGATAGACATGAGCAGAGCAAGGACAGTGGGCCAGGTACTTCAGAAAGTCACCAGTGTGGAAAGCCCTGGGTACCTAGCAAAGGGCAAAACAGGGAAAACAAGATCCTCACCCCCAAGGCGACCATTTCTTCCCCAGCATATGGCTAGTCATGCAGTTTAGACCCCCTGATCTTTCATAACACTGATCATGTAGTACGAACTCTCCCCTGACCTTTCCTCCCTGGCATGTTGCTAGTCATGTGGGTTAGACACCTACCCTTCAGAGGGGGAACGAATAAAGGGGCCAGAGAATAGCTCTTAAGCATTAGGCTCCCAGGACAATGCGGTTCTGACCTGCATCAAATACATATCTAGGCCTCAGTTGTATTTCAGCTCCAGGCCCAGAGAAGCAGCAAAACCAGACAAGAGACACCACGGCTGACCTCAGGACCAGTTGCATTGACTAATAACCCCCTGCCCTGGCACCAACCAATCAGTGGAGACCATGACCCTGAAAGAATGCACCTGGAAAGCAGATGATTATTTTGTTGAGATCCTCCCCTAAAATTCCCCCCTTAAAAGCCCTTAGGATGGAGGACACAGCACCTCTCCCTACCAAGCCCACCAGTGCCTTTCCCTTCCCTTTCCCACTCTTCTTCCCCACAGGCTTGTTTTCCTTGCCTCTCTCTCTCTTAAGCTCCAAGGGCCCTTCTGTTTTGCCTCTGTAACTTGTTTCCTGAGCTCAGTTCTTCTACCTCTGTGATTTTATAAATAAATGTTTTCTTATAGTTTGAGTCTTGGTCCTGAATTCTTTCCTAGCTAGAACTCAAGTACGAAGGTTGCTGAATGAAGAAGGTCTGTCTTGACCTCACTGGTCTAACACCTGGCACCATTCTCACTGCTGCGAACAGTTGCATTTTTTTAAATTCTTGAAACTGAATTTAAAAATTCTTTTTAAAGTAACCTCTTAGCCCTTTTTATTCTTAACTTCTATACAGTTGCATGCTGCAGCTCATGTACTTTTTCTTGTTGGTGAAACCCTTTTTTTTTTCTTTCTCTAGGTTGTGCTGTGTTACAGGTCAGCCCAGTAGTTAAAACACCTACTTACTGTGATGTGGTGAAAGAGGCCTGCAAATGTGACTCTGATAAATTTGTTATTGTAGGTAAGATTTATATATTCTTCGGATATGACTAGGTACCTCTCTCCTTTCCCATCCCCCCACATATTGATGTGCATCACAAGCTATACCACATTATAGTGGCATTCAAAGAAACTTCTCCCAAAGTCAGCTTATGTCCTGATATAAAAAAATAAAATATTCTTTTTGTTTCAAATGTCTTAACAGTGAATCTCTCATCTCACTTGTAGAATGGAATGCAAAATCAGATAGTCATTATGGTCTGATATCTGTTTGGCCTCTCAGTTATATTTTGGTGAAATTTCAGATGAGGATATTTTGAAATCCCACCTTTGGTTATTAGCTGTAGCCTCATAATAGAAACCCAAAAAAACCTGAAGTATGGAGATACTGAATAATTGGTTCTTTCTGAAATGCAGGGAGTTATGTTTGTTTTCTTATAAAATTGTCTGTGATTAAGTGAAACAGACTAAAAGACCTCACTACTCTTTCTTTTATTTTCCACAGAACTTGGAGAGTTTAGCAATACCACAGAAACCTGTGGATCTTCCTGCAGCTCCTCTAAGAGGTATCTCTCTTTCATGTCCATCTGCACATAGGCCCCTGGGCCATCACCTCTCAGGTCAAGTTCAGCCAGTTGCACTGACAGGGATAATTACGTAGACATGAAACAATCACCACTCAAGTTTCTTACAGTGTTTTTATAGTGTTTAAAAAACTTTTGAATGCATTCTTATTTAATCCTCATGGATAGGCTGTGTGGGGTTTTTTAAAACCCCATTTTATAGATCTAGAAACAGATTTAGACAGGGTGTGCCTCGAGGCACAATGCTGTCAAGTGACAGAGGAAGGATTTGAACTCAGATCTTCTGATTCTAAATCAGTGTTTTTTTCACTATACCTCTTAGTCTTGGTACCCTCAGTAAATAAAGCTGCTCTGAAGAGCATGGAGGATTGTATTGAGTTATATAACTGTTGGTACTGTGGTTGATACATGGTCTCTTATATGATGCCTCTTCTGAGTTTTTGGAGAGTGAAGGATAGTTGAAAATCTGAAGAAGACCCTTAAACTCTTCATGAATATAGTTGTTAATTTTTTCCATCTCTTACATTTCAGTATTATTTATGAGCCAAACTTTAATTCTGCTGAGCTAATAGCCAAAGAATTGTTTCAAGTATTCCGTAAGTGCTGGATGTTGTCAGAAGTTAACTATCAGCTGGCAGTTTCCGTGAATGCAGCTGGCCCAATAGTAAGTGTCAAAATAAGTTGACTTTGAATTGAAGGTTCCTAAATTTGCATTATGCCTCCTATTTACTTCAGACATGTATGTGTTTCCTTTGTGGTCACTGGGCATTAGGGAGGAAATGAAAGGAAGGGTGAATCTGAAATTTATCGAGTATTTATTATGCACCAGGGACTATGCTCAGTAATTCACATTTTAATCCTCATGTGTACTATTAAGTAGAAGCTATTGTCATTTTTATTTTAAGGTGTTAGTTCCAGACCCCTAGCAGGGCTGGTCATTGGTAGAATAGGAGTCATGCCTCACACTGCCTAATTTGAAAGTCCAGTCTGCTTCCCTATAGAACACTCTGCCCTCTGGCAGCATGCAGCTCATGGAAGACAGAGAACTTTGTGGCAAAGGCTAAAACAGAAGTAGTCCCCCTATGCCCAACAAATTTAATAAAAATAAAATAAATAAATAAACAAACAAATCAGGGGTAGACAAAAATCTCTCTGAAAATGCAAAGGAGGCAAAGGCCTGCTGGAGCAAAAGTGACATGGAGGTGTATGAGGTGTTTGTTAAGCAGAGTGATTTGGCATGGTTGGATAGCATATGTTTGCGTGTCTGTGTGTGTGTTGGTGGAGTGAGGGGATGGCCATGTTGATCTTCCTGGGAAATAAGGCTTGAATGCTGGTGGCCCAATTATGGAGGACCTGGAATGCTAACTTGAGGAGTTTGGCTTTTAAATGATAATAGGAAAGTTTAATGGTTCAGAGGGGAGCCAAGCAGGGGAATGGTCTTAAAAGAGCTATTTCTGGGGAAGTCTGACAACCACTGGAGGTTCTGATTGGCAGTATCTGTCAGCCTATTGACTAAAAGGGGTATGGCTTCTGCTATCCATAAAAGTATTGCAGGTCACAGTGACCTATTTGCAGTAATCCAAAGTGTGGAAACAAGTAAAATAACTAAATAACTAAGAAACTAAGAACAGTGATCTCATTTGGGTGGTGTTTTAAGCAATTTTTCTGCAGAAGGCTTTAGATACATGAAGGGCTCTTGTGATGTCCTTTAGTTCAGTTGAAAACAGTTTTAATTTATCATGGTAAATTTAAATGTTGGATACCCATTTGAGTGCTCTTTAATTTCAGTTCCTGAATAGGCTTAAGTTGTTCCTAAATTTCCTCCTGTGTTATATGCAGGTTGTAAATGGAGAGTGTGTCCAAAAAGACTTTGAATCCAGTGTGGATTTAGGAGAGGAAATTAAATTTAAGTCAAGGATCAGAGAGACAGAAGACTGGACACCCCCTAGATTTCAAGTCATATTTAATGTTCATCCACCACTTAAGTAAGTTTGGGTTTCTGTTTGGGCTTCCAATCTAGTTAAAACAAGCTGTGTTGTTTCTGTTACCCATGTTGGGGTTCTTGGGGTCCCCAAAATAGAAATTGAGAGGAAACTCTAGAGAAATTTTCAGACATGTCAATGTAAGAAACATTAAAACCTATAGAGAATTTTTGTGAGTTTATTTGAGCCAAACTTTCAACAATTGCCAGGATGCAAAATCTCAATGGATTGAAATAATGCTCCAGAGAATGGCAGTTTTGCACCTTATTTTATACATTACAATCAAAAGAGAAGACACAAGTGGGTTACATGAAATTCACTGCTGATAGATTAAGGAGGTGAGAGAAAGCAAAGTGAGGAAACCTCTGGGATTGAAAGAGAAGTAAAATTATAGACACATACATCTTCTACATAGGTGGGTATAGGATAGTTAGCAGTCAACAATTAACATGATAACAATAACAATGAGAGGATTTATGGTCTCTGGTCTCGTGTATTGGTTGTGCCTGAGGGGGTTCTGGAAAAAAGGGGAGTTACCCTGACATTCCAAAAGTATGTTATCATAGAAGCAAAAGACAATAGACAGCCTTAGTCAAGGTAAAGATTGACTTTTGTCAGGGGAGAGTCTGGCCTAGGAAATGACTACCTGCCATAAACTGCTTTTTGTTAAAAAGTTTTAATTTCAGACCATCCTTTGTGGTTACTGTAGGTCTCTGAGTTTGTAAGGCCACCACACAGGCCTTCCTTGAACTTGTCAGGTTAGCATGTGGCCCCTTTTTGTCCACAGACAGATTTTATTAAGCTTATGCTGGGGCACAAGGGAAGCAGCACAGGAAAGAAAGATCCTCTGGACTGGCTCTGGGGGCTGGCTCTGCTTGGCTCCTTTTATAAACTGAGGACAAAACAGGCTTATGCAAAAAGGCGGGCTTTTTGAAAAATACAGGCTTATGGAACTTTCTGTTTCCGAGTGGGGTGCTTTCACTTTCCAGCTGAGTTGCCTAGTAACTAGGTTCCCTCCTGTGCCCTGGGGCAAGAGGCCACTGCTCATTACAGTCACCCCAGGAAGGTCACATAGCAGTCAAACCGTGGTCAACTGAGTATGGGGCAGTAGTTTCAACACCTGCAAGAAAGCAGGCAGTTATAAGGGAGATAAAATCAGCTACCTTTTCATTTTTGAGTAGGGATTGGATGGGTGGCGACATTCTTAACCTGGTCTTAACTTGGCTTTCTAGCCACCCAGTATTTTTTCGATTCCTGGGCCCAAGTCCCTAAATTGTCTAAGTTCCCACCTAACTCTNTCTTGGCACCCTGTTTATCATGAGCTTTTGAGGGGCTCTGTAAATTTTGGCAAGTTGAGAATTTAACTATGTGTCCTTAATTATAAACATTACATAGCAATTGAAATAAGCTTAAAGGGAATATTTTTAAGTGGCTAATAATGAGCCTGAAAAATCATATACAATAATTTAAAAGGACTAGATCCTTCTATTTTTTAATGCAATGTGAAATAAAAATCAATGAATATATTTTTAAGAAAATTTAATCTCAAGGAGAGCTACTGTAGTTAAGAAAAGGCACGTGGGTAGGGTTCTGCATATTTTTGCCATCACCACTTTTGCTGACCCTAAACTATAATAAAATTTTATAACTTATTCTGAATTTCCAAATCACACGTGAAGTTTTGGCACCAACAGTTCAATAAAAAACACTTCACTAGGTGGTCTCTCATGAGAAATGATGTATAGTTTTGTCTTACATTATCCTTATTTATCTAAATTTCTTTGGCTCCATTTGGAAACTTCTCAAGTACATCACCTCTTGGTGTCCGGTCTACCTAAAATTTCTCCCTGCATCGCCTGTCTGTGGTTCTCTCTGAAGAGAGGATCCTGTGCATGCACAGTGTGATGTCTCTGAAGATCCCTGGTGGAAGTGTTATTTGTGATACTAACTTCTGCTTTGGTGGTAGCAGGGGCTTTTAAAAGACCCAAGGATTTCAACTAGAAAACTCTATCGAATAATTCTATTTCTTCCACAAGTGAAAAATGACAAAATTAAGGCCCCAAGCCTAGAAAAATATCACAACGTCAATTTCTTTTCAAATTGCTGAAAAATGCTCCATTGGCCTTTTCTGAAATGTAACTGTTATTGTTTTCTATACCCAGGAGAGATCTCGTGGTAGCAGCCCAGAATTTTTTCTGTGCTGGCTGTGGAACTCCAATAGAACCTAGTAAGTATGGGAATGGACTGACTGCTTATTGTGTGATGACAGGGCAGAGAATAACAAAGTTGGGCAGTGCATTGCTTGTATGAGACATGCCTTTGATGAGAAGTTAATATGAGAGGTTCATAACGTTGCCCTCTCCTTCATGAAGAAGCCATTGTGACCTACAGGGTTAAGTGACGGGCCTCTCAGACTCATCTCCTAGTTCCCTCCCCATCTGGCACTCAGCTCCAGCAACACGGCCTCCCTGCTGGTCCTTGAAGGTGGCAGGCTCACTCCTGACTTGGAATGCCAGACATCCCAAGGCTGGTTTCCTTACTTCCTTCACATATTCACTCAAAAGCCGTGAAGTTTTCCCTGGCTGCCCCATTGAAAATGCATTATATTACCCTTCTTAATTTTTATTTTAGCACTTATCTTCCTAAAATACCCTTTTAGATTTTACTGATTTTTCTTATTATTGTCTTTCTCCCTCACTAGATTTGAGATTCCATGAGGACAGATGTGTTGTCTTTTTTATTCGTTGCTTTAGCCCCTGTTCCTACCAGGTGCCTGGCACACAGTTGGTTCTCAAAAGATAAATTTGTTGAATGATTGAACAGCTTACCAAGGAGCTAGCCAAACTCCTTTAAGACGGTTTTCAGGAATCATTCCTGGGCCTGCTGAGGCCTAGAAATTCAGGCTTCCCCCAGTCAGAAATACAAGTTGCCCACTTGAGACTGGGAATCACTTATTCTGCTGTGAGGGTGTCCATAGGTCTAACCCCTAGGAAAACTGGGAAGAGGAGCTTTGTGGGAAAGTGTTCCCTTGACTTTTGAGAGGCAGTCTTAGAAGGAAAGGACTTTGAAGGCCTTCCCCTCAAGAAATAAAAATAGAAAACAGAAATCTATTTGGACTTCCTTCTTCCACGTTGAATGATAATTCCCGCCATGCATCACAATTGTAACTAATTTTATTTAAATAACTTATGTTCCCAATCTAGTTGGAACCATGTATATTTGATTAACCACTCTATTCTGGTGCCTCAATAAATATTAAATGCATGACTCTGAAACTATGAACACTTAATTATGATTCCACCAACTTTTTAAATACTTCTCTAATTTATTCAAATATGAAGATGTATGCCTGCACTGTTGATATAATCATGGTCCTTCTGTTATGGAGCTGAGCTGCCTTCCAGGAAGATATATCAAGGTAATAACAAGAGTGATGCATGCAACAAAAGAGAAAGTCGAGAGTGCTATGGGATTTACAGCAAGGGAAATTGATCTGGGCTAGGGGGTGGGTGGAATGAGAAGTTTTGTAAAGAAGTGATTATCCCCAGAAGAGTGTAGGGGTGGGGTGGAGGGCTTCAAGCTTTTGCAAAGAAATTCTGTGTTACTAGGTACTATGAATAAGAGGAGAAAACATGCTGCAGAGGTCGACAGCACACAAACTCTAGAGGCATTATCAACCGTGTAAACAATTTTGGACTTTTCCTGTGAAATTCCTGTAGTTCTTATGTTACCAGAGAGCCCCCTGAGTTGGAGGTGTGGGCTTTCCCCTCTTCAGCTCTTATCAGCTCATGAAAAATAATTCAGATGAGTAACAGACAGTAGTGTTAAAGAAAAGCAAGCAAATATTAAGGAAGCAAAGCAAATGAGTTTACTAAGGAAGTAAAACAAGTGAATTTATTAAGAATACACTTGGCATAAAGCACAAGTGGGCAACTCAGCTAATCTGAGTACCCTTCCCTGTGGGAGTTCAAGGAGTTTTATGCCCTTCCCTCTCTAGGTTTCAAAGCTCCTCTGCCAGATATCTTGGGTAGCAGACTAGTCCTCAAAGTCCCTTTCTACATTGTTGTGGCTTATCTTGGAATGTTTGTACATACATCTGGTCATCTTGTTTGGCAAGTCCTAAGAGAGCTGACTTCTTTGTTTAGTGGGTGAGATAAATTCCCCTTTTCTCCCCTCCCCCTCCTCCTGCTCTAACACCCATCTTTCCAGCCTAACATCCCTCAAGTGATACCATCACAATGCTTTGGGAGTTTTGTTGTTTGTTCCCCAGACTTTATCTGTCCTTGTGTTTAGCTGGCACAAATGGCATTAATTGGATCTTTGTTCTCTATTTTCCCAGGCCTGGGTGATTTAAGCCATGTGTTGTCTGGTTAGGGAGGAGAGATATAAACTATTTGCTCTCAGGTGTCCTTGGTTGGGGAAGATAAGGTCTTGTGATTCACAAGCTGACTGCAAGCTGCCCAAACTGCTTGGCCTTGCTTAATTTTCTTGTCTGAGTTTCCCCATCCCACTTGCCCAGGAATTTTCCTAGTGGCTTACTGTCCTGCCTCACTTAGGACAGTTTTTTTTAAACTTTTTATATTGAGATAATTTTAGGTTCACAGAAGAGTTGCAAAAATAGTACAGACATCCCATATACCCTTCACCCAGCTTCCCCTAATGTTAACATAATAATCATAGTATAATTATTAAATGTGAGGAATAAGCATTGTTACAATCCTGTTAAATAACTACAGACTTTATTCAGATTTTATTTATCTATTCTAAGGTCCAATCCAGAATTCTACACTTGAATTTAGTTGTCATGTCTCCTCAGTCTCCTCCAATCTCATACACAAAGACATTTGAAAATTGAGCAGCAGACAACATGACATTTTACCCTTTAATACTTAAGCATGTCCTAACAGTAAGGATTATGGATAGTTATCACACCAAAGAAAGTAACAATTCTCAATATTGTCTAATACTAGTCAATATTCACTGTTGTCCTTAAGATATCATTTTTAACTAATATTTCTATCCAGGTCTCAACCAAGTTTCATCCATTGCATTTAGCTAATATTTCTCTTTAGTCAGTTTTATTCTAGAACTGCAGTACCCAGAGTAGTAGCCACTAACGCCTGTGTCTACTTAAAATTAAATTAATTTAAATTTAAAATCCAGTTCTTCAGAGATGCTAGCTACATTTTAAGTGCTCAATAGCTACATGTGGCCTGTAGCTACTGTATGTGAACAGCACAGATATAGAACATTTCCATCCTCACAGAAAGTTCTGTTGGACAGTGCTCTTCTAGAATTTTTGCCTCCATTTTTTTTCTATGATGTTGACTTTTCCTAAGATGAATACAGTTATGGTTTAGAGCAGGGTTTCTTAGCCTTAGTACTATTGACTTTGTTGGGGGTTGCTGTCTGGTTTACTGTAGGATATTTAGCAGTATCAGTAGAAGCTTTCCATTGTGACAACCAAAAAACTCTCTAGGCATTTCCAAATGTCCCTTGGGGTAAAAAAAAAAATCACTCTTAGTCGAGCACTACTGGTTTAGGGTGCTTTGCTTTGTTCTGTTTTAATTAAAGGATTGAAGAAACCAAAAGAGATGGACATAATTTATTCTGAATTGATAATATAATGCTTAGTATATATTCAATGAAGTTTGATGAATGAGTGACTCATTATTGAAATGTTAGGATTTTAGATGTTAGGGAAAGATGAATTATATCCAGAACTTTTTTAAGCCCTGTCTCTTTATCTCTTCCCATCCTGCTAAGTCTGATCAGAAATGTAGAGTACAAGAGCAAGGGGATACCTCCCTTTTTGCCCATTTAGTATCAAGTGTATTGGAACCCTATCATAAGCAAAATAATACTTATTATCTGCTACATCAGAGATTTTAACCCGGGTGGGAAATAGATGCAATACAATAGACTTTTTAAAGTTTCAAGTTTGAGAACTCAGACATAATTATTAGGTACTTAATAAGTTCTTAACAAATAATTTGTCAACCCTAGAGAGATGTCACATAATTAAGAGTTTGATAATAGGGTATGTATGTATATATATGTACCTACAGTTAACCCTCATTATTCATGAATTCCATATTTGTGAATTTGCTTGCTCCCTAAAATTTATTTGTAACTCCAGAATCAGTACTTACTAAGTTTTTAGTCATTCACAGATATGCACAAAAGACTGAAAAATTTAGGTCCCCTGAAATTTGAGTTTCCTGTTGCACACGTTCACAGCTGAAGCTGAACAAAGCAATGCTCTGCCTTCTTGTTTTAGCTCATGCGGTAAATGTGTCCTTCTCAGGGTCTATTTATTACCCTTTTAAAAACACTTTTGTGCTTTTTGTTGGTGATTTTGCTTTTTAAAATGCCCCTGAGCATAGTGCTGAAGTGCTGTCTAGTGTTTCTAAGCACGAGAACTCTGATGTGCCTTACAGAGAAAATGTCTGCATTAGATAAGCTTCTTTGAGGCATGAGTCACAGTGCTGTTGGCCCTGAATTCAATGATATGAATCAGCAAAATATATTGAATAACGTGTCTTTAAACAGAAAACCCATGTAAAACAAATTTATGTATTGATTGGTAATGAAAATGTTTTTCCCAGAGACTCACAGGAATCTAACCCTGTATTTCCCTAAGGAGCAATGCTTTGATATTCACCAGTTCAGCATTCATGGCAACTTTACAGAACATTAACTACTACAGATAATAAGAATCAAGTATTTATTTGTTTGTATTTAAAAGTCAACTCTGAATGTGACCTGGGTCTGAGGATAATTTGTGCAAGTGCAGACATTAGCTTCTTGCCCTTCCCATCCATGGAATGTGGCAGAGGGGAAGTGGGATATGATGGCTGAAACCTGGAGCTTCCCCAGTCCAGACTTGGGTTGGAATCATGCTTGCCTGCTTGCTGCTTATGTCTCTGGCATGTGGCTTCACTCTCTATCTTGTTCTTTCATCAGTGAAATAGGGGAAGTAATAGTCCTGACCTCATAGAGGGTCAAGCACAGAATGATACAGGCATGCAAAAGACATTTAACCAGTGCATGACCCAGACTAAATGTTCAATAAAGGTTTGCTTCTGTGGTCACTCAGACTTTGACTACTTGTAAAGTCCTTATAGGAAAACTATATTCAGAATCGACAGTGTGCTGTGTACTGTGGTAACTGTTTTGCCATCATTATTTCATTTAATTCTCACAGTATGTGTCAACTAATATGAGTCAAATGGTAAATGATAGGTATAAACCTCGGCTCATGTTAGACCCTAGTGTTGAGGAAGGGGGCACAAAGGAGACCTAACTGAATCACTGTTTTCTTTCTTAAGCTGTGTACCCAAGTATTTGTTGCATTAGTCTGTGTACCTTTTTCTTGTCAATATATTTTATTGAAGATGTTTCCAAGAGCAATGCATGTTTATTTTAACAAATTAAAAAGCGCAAAGAGCATGCCCAGCCTGGCATGGCCCAGCAGTTGACCATCGACCTAGGATCCAGGAGATTGAGGTTCGATTCCCAGTCGGGCACATGCCCGGGTTGTGGGCTCGCTCCCCAATGGGGTCATGCAAGAGGCAGCCGATCAATGACTCTCTCATCATTGATGTTTCTCTCTCTCTCCCTCTCCCTTCCTCTCTCTGAAATCAATAAAGATATGTTAAACAAACAAACTGCAAAGAGCAAAAATCCTTTCCCCTACCCTCTAGAAGTATTCACTGTTGGCTTTTTGGTGGGGATCCTTTTGGACTGTACATGCATTTTTTTTTTTAAACAAAATTAAGATCACATGCTACATACCTGTAACTGGATGTTCACTGGCATTTCACTGTGGAGTGCACCATAATTATTTAGCCTGTTGATTCTTAATGGATATTTAGATTGTTCCCCACTTCATTATAAATGTGCTGTAATTCTATATCTCCACTTGTACATGTTAGCATTTCTGTCAGATATCAGCAGTAGTATTCATGCTGCATGGTTAAGAATTAAAAGTATATCACGGAAATGCCCTTCTCAGAGGTAGCTCTCCTGTCAGCACTGAGTGAGTGCCCACCCCTCTAAGCCTCAGCAGCTCTAGCGTCTCTAAATTTGTGATAGCCTGAGGCAAAACCAAGTATTTCAATGTTTTAACATGCATGTCTATGATCCTTACTGAGATGGGGTGTTTTTCACTTATTTACTGGTTATATACATTCTGCACTCCATGTATTGCCTATTCTCATCCTTTGTGCATTTTTGTATTATTTTCTCACTGATTTATCCAGGAATTCTTTTGTATACTACTTTTTAACAGTGTATATATAGTCCTTTTTATATATATATAGCATTTTTCATATGTGTGATATCCTGTAATCCAGTTTTGAGTTTCTTTCTATGGCCTCGGGACAGCCTGAAGAGATTCCAACTTGTCCCCCCTTAGCCTCCTGCTAGTGAGAGACCAAGTCTGGACTCCGCCAGATGTCCAGACCCTAAATGTCAAGCTCTCTTGGCTACACTGCAGTTTACACTGCCCGTAGTCCAAAATCCAGCAGCACATAGGGAGGGTTCTATTTTTCCGAAATCTATTCCACAAAAGCAAAGCTCGTGAATGACCGTGATTTGAGGCCTACAGTCCCTGCCACAGCTTTTCCAGCTGCTGGGAGGTTGTGGAGTATGGCTTTTGCACCACATAAACAGCAATCTGAGCCTTGACCCTTGGATGGAATTGGAGGTGGGGCCACCAAGTGTATGTTTTCAGCATCAGCTGATTGGTGCTCATCTCCTGTGTGCTCCGCAGAGTTTGTGAAGCGACTCCGATATTGTGAATACCTGGGCAAGTATTTCTGCGACTGCTGCCACTCCTATGCAGAGTCCTGCATCCCTGCGCGGATCCTGACGATGTGGGACTTCAGGAAGTACTACGTCAGCAATTTCTCCAAATGGCTGCTGGATAGTATATGGCACCAGCCCATTTTCAATTTGCTGAACATCAGCCACAGCCGATATGCGAAGGCCAAGGAGTTGGACAGAGTGAGGGTGAGCAGCTGCCTTTTGGGGGAACCAGTCCAGCGGCTGAAAGGGCCCTGCCGCCGCAAATGTACATCACACCCATCACAGGGAATCCATTCCATGGGCACCCTTTGAGGGCATTTTACCGTTTTCCAGTGGATAGAGTTTTGCCTCCAGGCCCCTGGCTTGCACTGGCTCTTGCAAAGTCTCCCTGTCAGGTTTTATATTTATGCTGTTTTGCATTTATACATAGCTTTTAAATTTTATTATTTTTTAAAATAAAAATTATACATATTTGAATGTACAACATGACTTCATACCGAATGAAATGATCACTATTCAATTAACATATCCACCTCCTTACATAGTTACCTTTATGTACTTGTGTGTGTGTGGTGAGAGCACCAGAAGTCTACTCTGTTAACAAATTTCCAGGATTCAGTATAGTATTAACTATAGTCATCATGTTGCACATTAGATCTCTAGACTTATTCATTGTGCACAACTGCAATTGTGTGCCCCGTGACCAACATCTCCCCATTTCCTCCACCTCCCTACCCGTGAGAACCAGCTTTCTACTTTCTGCTTCCATGTATTTAGCATTTTTAGATTTCACATGCAAGTGAGACCATGCAGTTTTTTTCTTTTATGTCTGGCTTAATGGCTTTCAGGTTCGTCCATGTTGTTGCAAATGACAGGATCTCCTTCTTTTATGCATAGTTGTATTTTTCTTAAAGAAAGCCTCCAATGTTATATAAACTTCAGGGTCCACAAAACTTGGGTCCATCCTGGACCCTCTGCAAATCTCAGGACTCAATCATGAACCCCTGCTGTATAGACTTTACTTCAAAGGCTTGTTTTAGTTATAGCAATTCAAGGTTAGAAATAACATTGAAATTTGACATACATTTCCAGTGTCATATATTACATTACAAGCATCCTGTTTTGTTTCTGACATTAGGAAATCCAGGAGCAGCTATTTCATATCAAGAAGCTATTGAAGACCTGCAGATTTGCTGAAAGGTACTACTGTTGGCTGGGACAGTCTGGGCATGTGAGTTGGGCAGACTGATAACCTCCACACATTTGCTAACCCTCTGTATGCCTCCTGGCCCATCCCCTCCAAAACACAGGGCCTCTCAGCATAGTACAGTTGTCCCTCGGTATCTGGACAGATAGGTTTCAGGACCCAAATACCAAAATGCTCAGGCACCACAATGCTCAAATCTCTTCTACAAAATGGCATAGTACTTGCATATAGGTTATAGCAGGCTATGCTTGTACATCATGTCATTCACATAGATTCAGCATAGTGCTTGACACATGGCAAAGTCAAATTTGGAACTTTCTGGTGTGTTTGTTTCTGAATTTTTTTTTTCCTAATTGAAAAATGTATATTTTTAATATGTTTTTATTTTATTTTATTTTTTAATTTTATTTTTGTTTAAAATATTACAGATGTCCCTTTTTCTCCCCAATGACCTATTCCACCCTGTCCCATCCCCCTCCCCAGTCCCTCTCCCCACCATTGTCCGTGTCCTTGGGTTGTGCATATATGCATATAAATTCTTTGGTTGCTCTCTCCCCCTCCACCCACCTGCCCTCCTCCATCCCTCTGACATTCGTCAGTCTGATCTATGATTCCATGTCATTGAATCTATTCTGTTCATCAGTTTATTAAGTTCTTTAGTTTCCACATATAAGTGAGATCATGTGATGTTTATCTTTCTCTGCCTGGCTTATTTCACTTAGCATAGTATTCTCCAGATCCATCCATACTGTCCCAAAGGGTACGAGATCCTTCTTTACAGCTGCATAGTATTCCATGGTGTATGTCCCAAGATTTTTTATCCACTCATCTACTGATGGGCACTTGGGCTGTTTCCAGATCTTAGCTATTGTAAATTGCACTGCTATGAACATAGGGGTAGATATATTCTTTCTAATTGTGTTTCAGGATTCTTAGGATACATTCCTAGAAGTAGGATCACTGGGTCAAAAGGCAGCTCCATTTTTAATTTTGTGAGGAACCTCCATACTGTTTTCCATAAAGGTTGTACCAGTCTGCATTCCCACCAGCAGTGTACTAGGGTTCCCCTTTCTCCACATCGTTGCCAGCAGGAGTCGTTTGTTGATTTGTTGATGGTAGCCATTCTGACAGGTGTGAAGTGATACCTCATTGTGGTTTTAATTTGCATCTCTCTGATGATTAGCGATGTTGCTCATTTTCTCATGTGTCTCTTGGCCATCTGTATGTCCTCTTTGGAGAAGTATCTATTCAGGTCCTTTGCCCATTTCTTAATTGGGCTGTTTGTCTTCCTCTTGCTGAGTAGTATGAGTTCTTTGTACACTTTGGAAATTAGCCCCTTATCAGATTCATCCTTGGCAAATATGTTTTCTCAGACCGTGGGGTTCCTTTGTATTTTGAGGCTGTTTTCTTTTGCTGTGCAAAAGCTTTTTAGTTTGATGTAATCCCATATGTTTATTTTTTTCTTTTGTTTCTCTTGCCCTAGGAAATATATCAGTGAAAATTCCACTATGTGGGATGTCTGTGACTTTACTGCCTATGTTTCCTTCCAGGATTTTTATGGCTTTTTAACTTATATTTTACCCGTTTTGAGTTTACTTTTGTGTATGGTGAAAGTTGGTGGTCTAGTTTCATTTTTTTGCATGTAGCTGTCCAGTTCTCCCAGCACCACTTATTGAAGAGACTGTCTTTACTCTATTGGATGCTCTTGCCTCCTTTGTCAAGTATTAACTGACCATAATGGCGTGGGTCTATTTCTGGGGTCTCTGTTCTGTTCCGCTGACCTATATGCCTGTTGTACCAATACCAGGCCGTTTTGATTACAGTGGTTTTGTAATACAGTTTGAAGTCTGGTAATGTGATCCCTCCCACTCTGTTCTTTTTTCTCAAGATGGCTGCAGCTATTCGGGGTCTTTTTTGGTTCCATATAAATTTTCAAAATGTTTGTTCTAGGTCTGTGAAATATGCTGTTGGTATTTTAATAGGAATTGCATTAAATTTATAAATTGCTTTGGGTAGTATGGACATTTTAATGATATTAATTCTTCCAATCCATGAGCATGGTATATTCTTCCACTTGTTTAAATCTTCCTCTATTTCTTTTTTCAGTGTCATGTAGTTTTCTGAGTACAGGTCTTTTACATCAGTGGTTAAGTTTATTCCTAGGAATCTTATTTTTTTAGTTGCAATGGTAAATGGTATTGCTTTTTTAGTTTCTCTCTCTGAAAGTTCATTGTTGGTGTATAAGAATGNTGGTATTGTTTTTGTAGTTTCTCTCTCTGAAAGTTCATGGTATATATCAATGCCATTGATTTCCAGATGTTGATTTTGTTTACAGCTACCTTGACAAATTCATTTATCAAATCTAGTAGTACTTTGATGGAGTCTTTAGGGTTTTCAATGTACAATATCATGTCATCTGCAAATAAGGACAGTTTTACTTCCTCCTTTCCTATCTGTATACCTTTTATATTTTCTTCCTGTCTGATGGCTGTGACTAGAACTTCCAGTACTATGTTGAATGAGAGTAGTGAAAGTGGACATCCCTGTCTTGTTCCTGTTTGTAATGGAAATGGCTTTAATTTTTGCCCATTGAGTATGATGTTGGCTGTAGGTTTGTCATATATGGCCTTTATTATGTTGAGGTATGATCCCTCTATTCCCACTTTGCTGAGAGTTTTTATCAGAAATGGGTGCTGGATTTTGTCGAATGCTTTTTCTGCGTCTATTGATATGANNCTTTGTTGATTTGTAGATGTTGTACCAGCTTTGCATCCCAGGAATAAATCCTACTTGGTCATGGGGTATGATCTTTTTAATATATTGCTGGATCCGATTTGCTAATATTTTGTTGAGGATTTTAGCATCTATGTTCATCANCATCAGGGATATTGGCCTGTAATTTTCTTTCTTTGTAGTGTCTTTAGCTGGTTTTGGGATTAATATGATGCTGGCCTCATAAAAAGAGTTTAGGAGTTTCCCCTCCTCTTGAATTTTCTGGAATAGTTTGAATAGAATAGGTGTTAATTCTTCTTTGAATGTTTGGTAAAACTCGCCTGTAAATCCATCTGGTCCAGGACTTTTGTTTGCTGGGAGTTTTTTGATTACTGCTTCAATTNACCTGTAATTCCATCTGGTCCAGGACTTTTGTTTGATGGGAGTTTTTTGATTACTGCTTCAATTTCATTAGTTGTTATTGCCCTATTCAGGTTTCCTGCCTCTTTCTGATTCAGCTTTGGAAGATTGTATGATTCTAGGAATTTGTCCATTTTGTCCATGTTGTCCAGTTTTTTGGCATACAGTTGCTCATAGTATTGTATTACAATCTTTTCTATTTCTGTTGGGTCAGTTGTTATATCACCTCTTTGATTTCTGATTTTGTTTATTTGGGTCCTCTCTCTTTGTTTTTAGTGAGTCTGGCTAAAGGTGCATCAATCTTATTTACCTTTTCAAAGAACCAGCTCTTGGTTTCATTGATTTTTTGTTTTGTTTTTTTGGTCTCTATGTCATTAATTTCTGCTCTGATCTTTATTATTATGTCCTTCTTTTATTTCCTCGGGGCTTTTCTTGCTGTTCTCGTTCTAGGTCTTTTAGTTGTTGTGTTCGATGGTTCATTAGATCTTTTTCTTGTTTCTTGAGATAGGCCTGTAATGCTATGAATTTTCCTCTCAGGACTGCTTTCACTGTATCCCATAGATTTTGGGTTGTTGTCTGTTCATTTTCATTACTTTCCATGAAGTGTTTGATTTCTTCCTTGATCTCCTTGGTAACCCATTCATTGTTTAATAACATGCTATTTAGCCTCCATGTGTTTGAATATTTTTGATTTTTTTTATAGTGGTTGATTTCTAGTTTCATGGCATTGTGATCTGAGAAGATGCTTGATATTTTTTTCTGAATATTTTTGATCTGTGCTTGGTTGAATCCTTGGGTGCTAAACCCAACCCACAGATACAGAGGGCTGACTGTAATTACCTTGTGTCTGTCCTTGGGAATGCAAACCCTCTCTTTAAAGCTATTAATCCTTCTAACTCACTAGTAGTGAATTTATTTTGTTAAGAAGAATGGGTCAGGATGAAACAACTCTAGCCAGTGGCCTTTTTATTATTTTTAAATTGTGGTAAAATAAACATAACATGGAATTTTTTTGTCTTAACCATTTTTAAGCAAACAGTTCAGTGGGGTTAAGTACATTCACATTGTTATACAACCATCACCACTATCCATCTCCATACCTCTTTTCATCCTGCGAAACTGAAACTCTGTATCCATTAAACAATTACTCCCCAGTCCTCCTTCCCCTCAGTCCCTGGCAATAACCATTCTACTTTATGTTTTTGAGAATTTCACTACTAAGTACCCCATATAAGTGGAATCATACAGTATTTTGTGATGGGCTTATTTTACGTAGCATAATGTCCTCAAGCTTTGTCGAAGTTGTGGCATGTGCCAGAATGTCCTTCCTCTCTTTTAAGGCTGAATATATGTGTATACCGCAGTTTGTTTGTCCATTCATCCCTCTTGGGTTGCTTTCACCTCTTAGTATTCTGAATAGTGTTTCTGTGAGCATGGGTGTACCAATGCCTTTCAAAAACCACTGATAGGAGGCATGTCAAACTTTTATTGGGTATAATAGTATTCTTGACTATGATGTGGTGATAATTCAAGTATTGTTCTATTACTGATAGATTTTTAGCGAAATAGACTTTAAATATCTTAATATTAAAATAGATTTAAATATCTTTGTAGATATTAAACCTTATAGAGTTTTAATATTTAATAGATATTTAAATGTTTTTTTAATGTCTTTTGTTATTTAAAAAACTAGTTACTTAGTATAATAACCTCTAGATCCATCCATGTTTTCACAAATGATAAGATTTCATTCTTTTTTATGGCCAAGTAATATTCTATTGTATATATGTACCACATTTTCTTTATTCAGTTGTCTATTGATGGGCACTTGAGTTGTTTCCATAGCTTGGCTATGTAAATAGTGCTGCAGTGAACATAGGAATGCACACATATTTTCAAATTAGTGGTTTGGATTTCTTCAAATAAATACCCAGAAGTGGGATTGCTAAGTCATATGGAAGTTTTATTTTTAATTTTTTGAGGAACCTTTATACTGTGAAATAAGTCAGTAAGAGAATGACAAAAACCATATGATTTTACTTATATGTGGAATCTAAAATACAAAATAAACAAACTAGACTTACCAGGGGGTAAGTCATTATGCTGTACACCTGAAACTAATATAGTATTGAATATCAACTGTAATTGAAAAGTTACTTTTTTTTTTTTTTTAAAGAAACCTAGAATTTAGCTGAATCTCTGCCCACATCCATAGGTATGTCCTTAGGATAAACTTCTTGAAGTAGAATTTCTGGAAGCCATGGCCATAAAGGCATAGGCATGATTTTTTTGAGAGAGATAGAGATATTTAAGTGGAAAAAGAGCAGGTTTCTCAAAGAGTTAAGATTATTCATTATAATAGGATCATAGGTTTAGAGATAATTTTTTTGCTTTGTTTTAAAGCTTCTTTCAGTTTCTAATCTTTACTTAATGATAATGTTTTACTTTTGAATTAAATTTCTTGGGGAGTAGCATGTCTTCAGTAGTCATTTAGGCTTGAGCTTTACCTTGCTCTGACAGGTTAATTACTCCTCAGACCCTCAGTTTTCTTGTCTGTAACATGTAACAATACCCACAATTCTTACTGTCAACAGCAATTTCTTGAATCTCCATTTTGTGTTTCAGATTAAAAAATCAAAATGACTCATGTTAAGTCCAGGGAGAAAATTTGCACAACAGCTCATTTCTGGACTGTGTGTTAGATACGTACAAAGCCCTGAGAGTGAGGATGAACATTTAGTTCATAAGGGACGGGGCAGGGAAGGGAGCAGGCAAGGGAGCAGGCAAGGCTTCCAGAGATAAACCTGATCTGGGAGTGGAAACAGGGTGAGTGAGTGCCCCAGGCTGGATGGAGAATTAAATATGGTTTGGTATCACTAGAATGTCAGGTCCAGTGTAGGCAATGTCTGGCTTGGGAATGCAATGCGTGATGATGCTACTCATCACTGATTTGGGGAATTCAGAAGGAGATCTGGAGAGTTTGGAGAAGGTTTTGTTCAGTTTTGAATGACCTTGGGACATCCAAGTACCTGTGACCAGCGCACAGTTGGATACCTGAGTCTTAAGCTTAGTTTTGAACACAAAGATTTGGGAGTTACATGCCTGAGAAGTAATTTTTCTGCCGGCTGGGGCAACTGTCAGTGAAAGACTTGACATTTAGCTGGAATCAGTAAGCTAGTGGGTTTTATCCAAGTATACATTTTTAAGACTTGAAATAATATTCAGTTTTCTTTTGCTCAGTGTATGCATGGGCAGGCTGCAAGAGGCACATTTCTCTGCTGGTTCGTTTTTTTGAAATCGGCATTTATGAGATTTTAATTTCTTGGCTTCCAAGCAAACTTGCAAAATGCAAAGTGATGAGTAAGGTTAACCTGTTCTTGGGGCTATTTTAAAAAATTGAGTTAAAAAATAAGTGTGAGTTTCAGGAGAAAACAACGACTTGCTCACCCCTTTCCCCTTCTGCCCCAGCCTCTGTGTGGGTGGGTCCTTGAATCCTCTTTTTTTCCTCTCTGGCAGTGCATTAAAAGAGTTTGAGCAGGTGCCCAGACACTTGACCGACGAGCTCTACCTGTTCTCCCTGGAGGATCTGGTCAGGGTCAAGAAAGGGCTGCTGGCGCCCTTGCTCAAGGACATTCTGAAAGCTTCCCTCTCCCACGTGACCAGCTGTGAGGTGAGGTTCACAGGGAACAGGTGTGTCCCTAAGCTGTCCCTTATGCATTAGGGCCTGTTCTGGGTGTTCTGCACTTTACATCATTTAACTTCTACAAACCCTGAAGGAAGTGCTGACAATACTCTTTTCAGATGGGAAAAATGAGATTCACAGCTATTAAAAGAGTCAAGGTCATCCTGCTAATGAGTAGCAGGGCCTGGATTCAAGCCTGGGCCAAGTGACTTCTTACCTTAGTCTGGGCTCCCAGCCCTGCTTGGGGGCCTGCCTCAAATCCCATCTGTCTTGATGTTCCAAATACAGCAATTCAACTCAGGATCCAATGGAACAGGAGCTCTTTATCTACAGGGACTGAAGAATCGTAGTGTAGAAACAAAATTAGACCATTTAAGAATCATGTTTAAAATCATGATCTTGCTCTGGTGCCTTAATCCAACTCAATGTGAAATTTCTCCATGCAAAATGAATGCACATTTCTTATTCTGATCTATTCATTGCAACAGAATATAACATCCTGTTCCTTCCAGAGGCAGGAGTCATAGACATTTTAAAATTGATGCTTATTAAGTTCTGTAAAAGTAGTGACTCAGATTCTCCATCAAAAGAGACATTACCAATGGGGATTTTAACTTTTTGACTCCTCTTACAGCTGTGTCAAGGAAAGGGCTTCATTTGTGAATTTTGCCGGAGTACAGCTGTCATCTTCCCATTTCAGACTGCAGTGTGTAGAAGATGTTCAGGTATCTTAATAAATTAATAATATAAGCTTATTAGCTTAATAACTAAGTGCAAAGTTACCGTAAGTTTAATAACAAGCATAAAATTAACTTAAGCTTAATAATAACTATATAACATTTCTTTAAATTATAATGATGCTGGTGTGTGCTTATATGTTGAATTGGAGATAATAAAGTTTTGGGTGCACAGGAAGGAGTATTTGAATACAGCAGGGATAAAGGGTGATGTCTCCTAGTACAGAGTTTGAAGAGAGGAAGTGAACGCTGTTTTGCCTGTGCACAATTCTTCTACACCAGGGCAAGCTACAGTACCCCATCTTGTAGTTGGATCATGGTCATGCCCAATGCTGAAGTGTTATCTCTGGTTTCGTTTGCGCTACAATGGCAGAGTTGAGTAGTTGTTATGGAGACCATGTGGCCCACAGGACCTAAAACATTTACTATCTACCTGTTTACAGAAAAGGTTTGCAGACCCTTGTTTACTGTATTAGTGCCTCAGGAAATACTGTGTTCTCTAAACTGGTTCATGGGAGAGATATGGTAATGAAATCTGCCTTTGCCCTTGACATGAGCAAGCCCCCCTCTTAGACCACTCAGATGTCTCCCCTGACTCATTAGGCAGAGTTACAAGGTGGGTTCCCCACAGGGAAACTCTGAGGCAGGGATTTGCATGCAGAAAGTTCACTGTGGAGTATTCTTGGGCTCAGCGCCCACAGGGGTGTGAAGAAAGCAGGATTGGGCAGAGAGTGAAGCTGACCTATGAAGTGATTGCAGTGAAAGCTCAGCATATCTCATGGGGAGCTCTGAAATGGGAATGGCCTTCAACATTGTCTCAATTGAGGACAAGGGGCCAGCCCAGTCTTTAAACCCCATGTTTACCAATCAGTCACCCAACACAGGCTGGTGCTAACAAGGGGACATGACCTTGGGCAAGGCAGCTCTCTCTAATTAGGACCATTTCCAGGGAAGGGACACCACCTGAGTCATTAGTTTCCAATACTCAGCAGCTGACGGAATGTCCCTTGGGGAGATCTGGGGGCACTGAAGCATCCATTCATCAGGCCCTCCAAGTCTCATGTTCATGACCTATTGGAGACTTTATAATCCCTCTGAATTTCAACCTACCTCATATCTTTTTGGAAAACTCTGATTTCTGGACGCCGATCCTTTCTCTCCCCAGGGTAGGGACGAGTGCCTGTATGTGAGAAAACAAGATAGCCCCTTTGCTAATGGCTGTCCTCCTCACTTGCAGAGTGCAGAGCTTGCTTTCACAAGCAGTGTTTCCAATCCTCTGAGTGCCCCCGGTGTGCAAGGATCACAGCGAGGAGAAGACTTTTGGAAAGTTTGCCCTCTACAGTGACATGATGCCCTGGAGTACTGTGAAAAAGACTGTTCAATAGGCCTTATGACAACACCAACATGTGTCTATTATTGACAACATTGTTTTAGATATTGAGGATTGTATATTAAGAAGAAAAATGGTCAATATTCTCTTTATTATATCTTTAGTATTTTTAAAGAATGCAGATTCTTGGTCATTAAGCTAAGGGTTGTTACTGGTGGTTTTGTTTACAATGTTGAGTGTTTTTGCTGCTACTGTTTATTTTAAGAGTTTTTTTTTATACTAATATTGTATTTGAATAGTTGTATTTAACTAATGTTGGAGCTCCTCGTCCTGTAAAGCTGTTTGTGAAAAGGGTTGGTACTTCCATTGAACAAAAATACAACCAAAAGTCTTTTCTCAGGCTTTATTTTCAGCTTAAATGCCATTTTTTATTGTATCATTCTTATAGACTTTACTTATTTCAGGGTTTGTATAGTGAGTGCACATTGCTTCTGCAGTTACGTCTAGACTTTCAAGATGAGTGTGAGTTGCTTAACTGCCTGTGGAGATGCCGTTTGAATCAGTTGCCTCTAGATGGCGCTCCTTCAGATGGCTCAAATCAAAGCTGTCTGTCATCTCTGTTCAACACACTAAGTCAAGGGATGCATGGTTGAATACAACCTTATCCCTGCCCTTTAGGATATTGTCTCATTGATATAAAATTGAATATAAGATATCTGAAGACTTAAATAAGGTGTGGAAAAATATTGTTAATAACAATGTGATCATTGTACAGGTAGTCCCCCAACCCCATCCAGTGCTGTGGGTGTGTTATTCATTTAGATAATATTGAGCACATGAGAGAAATGAGTGTCTCCTATCAATCTGGTGTCTTTTCATCCTGTCATTTGTTTTCGCATCCTGATGCCTCTGCCAAATCTCTGCTCCCATTTATTATTTAAGCTATGTCTCTTTTAAATAGAAATACTGTCACATGGGATAAGATAAATAAGATAAAAATTCAAAAAATGTTTTATTCTTACCCATAGTTTATATTCCATGTTAGGAATCACAGGTCAGAGAGGTATGTTGATATTCCTTATAACAACTCTATGAAGTTCATTTCAATATCTCCATGTTACAAGTGAGGAAACTGAGGCTTCAAAAAGAGAAATAATGCACCTAAGTTCCCACTTATAGTGCATGGTAGTAGTGGGATTGGCATTTGAGTCGGCTTGCCTCCAAAGCCCATGTTCCTACTCCCTACTTCTGTGGTATCCTTTGGAGGTAATATGAGCAAAACAAACTTTAACTTGTAAGTGCTGCTCCAACCTCAGTTAGTGGCATTGGGCTGAAGCCTCGCTTATGTTGCCTTGCATTGATTTGAGGAAGTTGCTATGGCTTATGCATTGCTGTGTCTGCAAGGCCCTGATGAGTGTGTGTATGCACAGCACATCTCAGGAAGTGATGCTTTTGATTTCTTTATTTTGAGCAAGAATGAAGCAATTTGAATAACCACTCTATGGATTTAGCTGAGACGTGGTTCCTCTCCCCATTGTAGTCATAGAGGCTCCTTTCCAGTAAGGTATCTATTAGAACAGAGAAGTGGCTTCAGCTCACATGCAGCTTTCTGTAGGGAAGTAATTAGTTGTGACGTATATTGCTCTTTAATGACATTTACTCCTCACGTAGATTTTCTGTGCAACTTTTCCTGGGCTGCCAGAAAGGAGATGACGACTTGGTCTTTCTCATCAGACTGTCACCCACCATGAGGCATCGAGTTGCAGTGCTGTGACCCTAATGATTAATTTTCTGCCTTTACGTGGTTCACTTGGGAAACTCCAGTAACGTGTTCTTTATAGTCATGACTCTCAGCTGCAAGTAGGGAGTTATACCAGGGGAGAGTATATAGGGAGTGAGGGGGTGAGGCATCCCAAAGACGTTGCGGTGTATTCACTTGGGTGAGAATTGATTCTCAGATCTGCTTCTTCCTACCTGTGTGACTCTGGACAAACTACTTAAATTATCTGAGTCTCTGCTTGGAAAAAGGGGGATAATAACTATATGCAGTTGATATGAGGATTAGAAATGAAAAAGAAGCACCCAGTAGAGAGCCTGGTACAGGCAGGCATCCAATAAGTGGTAATAATTGTGTCTAGACAAATTAAAAACTGAGTTATGCCACCTATTCTATATCTATGTATAAGTTACTGAGTCTCAATTTAATGAAGATGAGAACTACACTTACTATTATGGGTTAATTGTGTTCCCCAAAAAGAAATGTTGAAGTTATACCTTCAGGTACCTTATTTGTGTCACCTTATTTGGAAATGGAGTGTTTGAAAATGAATTAAGTTAAGATGAGGTAGTAATACTGGGTTAGGGTGGACCCTTATACAATAACTGGTGTTCTCATAACAAGAGGGAAATTTGGACAGAGATATAGTCAGAAATCACAGGGAGAATACCATGTGAAGGAGACAGAGATTGGGGTGATGTATCTATAAGCCAAGGAACATCAAGGATTGCTGGGAACCAGCAGAAGCGAGGACAGAGGCATGGAGTGGATTCTCCCTCAGAGCCTCCAGAAGGAACCAATCCTGCTGACACCTTGATTTTGGATTTCTAACATCCACAACTGCGAGAGAATAAATTCCTGTTTTTAACCAACTCAGTTTGTGGTAGTCCATTACAGAAGTCCTAAGAAATTAATGCACCTACCACTGAGGGTTATTAGGTTAAATGATGATTAAGTAGCATGTGCAAAAGTACTGGCACAGTTCTTGGCACATGAGAGGCATTATCAAGCATTAGACTTCTTATCTTCAGGCGTCAAGACACAGAAAATGGACTTGGAAAGGTAACAGACCATCTATGTAGGGTGAGGCAAAAGTAGGTTTACAGTTTGTATGGAAAATAATGCAATAATTAATAAATAATTACACAAGAATAAACTATGTTTCACATACAACTGTAAACCTACATTTGACCCACCCTGTGGGTTTGTGGGTTTCTATATAGACAGAGCATTAACAACTGAATACTACTGCTTCTTATACCTCAGCTCTTCAGACCCTGATTGTGAGTGTTGGAGAGAGCTGCTTGACCTCAGATTTTAGGAGACAGCCATGAATTTGGAAGGTAGTTATTTGAAACATGGTGGAGGGGGTGGGGGATGCTGGCTATTACCTCACATTAAAAAGCAGATGAAACCATCTTGATTTTCAGATGTAATAGAATTGAGATATATCTTAAAACAAATCTTGAGTAAGACCCTGATTGTGAGTGTTAAGAAGGCCCCTCTCCCCCGGTTGGCGTGGCTCAGGGGGTGAGCATCGACCTATGATCCAGGAGATCGCGGTTCGATTCCAGGTCAGGGCACAAGCCCGGGTTGCGGGCTCGATCCTCAGCAGGGAGCGTGCAGGAGGCAGCCGATCAATGACTCTTTCTCATCATTGATGTCTTTATCTCTCTCCCTCTTCCTTCTTCTCTCTGAAATCAATAAAGATATATTTTTTAAAAAAGAAAAGGAAGAAGGTCCCTCTCTTCTGTTGTCTGCACACGGTTGGAGCAGAGTTGGTGCTGGGCAGTGATGGCACCTATATCTGACCCACGCTGTCCTCACTGCTGAACCCACTCACAGGCATCTGCATATAACAGAGGACAGGTTCCAATGGCCCCTCCCCATCCCAGCTTCATGTGGAGCACCTCAAAGAGTGAGAGAGGCTGTTAAATAGAGGGCATCATGATATCCTGTAGAATAACTGCTTGTGAACAACTGTGGGCAAATCACTTTTGTAGCCCTTAGTTATAGGTGTTTGTAGTATACAATCCTAGGAGATAGGGAGCCAGCTGAGAACAAAAATCCATTTTCAAACCAAGTCTGAGGCATCACTGGGACATCCATCAGGCAGAGGGAAGATCCATGTTGCTGTGGAGAAAGATCCATACGGAGGCCATTAAGGAGGTAACCAGAATATCTGTCAAAGTATAGTCTCCAGCTGGAGGCTGTAGAGGCACCAAAGAGTAACTCAGCAGTGCTGTTGTTCAGCCCTGGGCATGCGGACAAAGGCATGGACTCTGCAATCAAGGTGCTCATAGCCACCCCCAGAGAGGCTGGCAAGGGCAGGTAAGGCAAAAAGAAGTCAGAATGCATACGTTCTGAGGTTGAAGCACAGTGAAAACACTTCAGGAGTGACAGGTCCCCCTTGGGACCCTCTAAGAGGAGTTGTAGAAACTGACCCTTGAAGGGTCAACCAGACTCCGTATGAAGAGAGAGAGAGGAGAGGAGA